GGACATAATCTTTCGTGGACCCCCCCCCCTTTTTTTGGTATATATATTTTTATATATTTCATACCCACCAAAAGAAGTGGGCTGTAGTCCACGAAAGCTTATGCTTTAATAAATCTGTTAGTCTCTAAGGTGCCACAAGTACTCCTGTTCTTTTTGCGGATACAGACTAACACGGCTGCTACTCTGAAAACTTTCAACAAAGAAAAAGTTCACGTTTGTATGAACAAAAGTTCAGCCTTCTCCATTTGTATGTCAGATGATGAGGATGTTCCCCATAAAACAACACTATTGAAGTATTCATCATAAGAAATTCTGCAGCTTAGAAATGAACTACAAACTGCAATCTTGCTGAGATGTCCCTGTAGGTTGGCTTTGGCACGTACACTTGCATATCTTATGCTTTGTCTGAATTACGAAGCTCCCACAAGTGAGCAAGAAAGCTCTCGGATATGGGTCACAAGTCTGTGAATCAGAACTTAGGCAATGCTTTAAAAATAAACAAAGCAAACAAAAATAAATGCAAGTCTCAGCAGATATTTTCCCACAGGTTTTTCAAAAACCTAACCAGACCTTTAAATATTATTTATGTTTCAGAGATTTTCTGTAAAGAAAACTCTGTATTTGCCAAAAAACAGACAGACAAAAAAAACCCCACATTTGGTTTGTATTCCACATACAGTATTAAGGTAGCAGGAATAAACTCTGATGTAGGTGGCTGGGGTTACTACCCTGTTTCAAACACCTGACAAAGGTTATTTTACTTACACTTCAATTTTTAACTGACAAATGCTTTTTAAGCTGTTTTTCATCCAAAAGATTAGAAAAAAAATCAACTCTGCTCTCTTGTAACCTTGGAGCACTTCCTAGCTTTGAAATCAAACCCATGGGATTTTGACTATCCTGAGTTCTGACCCAAATCCCCTAGATCACACAATGTACAATGATAAAAGGAATCACCAGAAATCTCAGAACCTTTTGACATTAAACACGTTTGCACTACAGAGAATCAAGTAAAACCTTGTATATCTGGAGACTTTACAATTGCTAAGAAGGGTTAGGTGTGACACATCTGGGGATGCCCTCCTCCTGAAGAAATCTGAGGTCTGACTTTTCACCACTCCCTGACTTGTAACTAACTCCCTTTAAAAAAAGAAAAAAGAAGAAAAGAAAGAAAAAGCTACAAGAAATCGTTTTTCTCCTCACCCCAACAGTCCAGAACAGACTACCTTCCTATGCAATAAACACCAACTTAATTGCACTGGTCATCTGGGAAGGAGAGAGGAAATCACACCATTATTTAGATGGATCACTGCTGAATTGGTGGGTCCATTTACTAGGGAAGATGGGAAGAGATAGGGACGCCCTGGAGTGTTGTGGGGGGAGGGAATCCCCTTTATTTTGGAGAAATCCTGCCAATACCTCAGGAGCTGGTGCCCAACACCCCCAGTTTGCACACGTCTGCAAAGCACCATCCTGCCTGAGTCCCACCTTCCAGCCAGACACGGACCGTGACAAAGCGGAGTCTCTTTGTACAGGGAGCTGGGAGGCTGGGAAGCCGGGCTCCTAGCAGAGGTTGCCCTCTACGGGAGAGCCTTTGTAGAGCGCTGCCTGGTGTTTAGGGGGAAGGGTCTGGGGGTGCAGAGAGGCTCACCTGAGATCTCCGCCTGGGGTACCCCGTGCAGGCTGAATCCTTTGGTCGCATAAAACTGCCGGACCTCGGTGCAGCTCTTCGCTTTGCTGCCACTGTCACCCCGAGCCGAGGAGGCGGCGACACACAGAAGCCAAAATCCCCACGGGAAGAAATGCATCCTCCTTCTCCGCCAAGCCCCCCGAACCTGCAGCGCAAAGGACAATCCCAAGGTCCCGTTGACCCCGGGCTGCAAAGCGGGCTCTCTCCCTCTGCCCGGCGCTCGCTAGCTGTTTGCAGGCACTGTGCACGGAATGGGGGGGGGGAAAGCTCAGTCCCACCTTCCCCCAAGCATCCCTGCCTTCCCGCCCCCCTGAAAAAACAACACTCCAGGGAAAACAGATGGCAAGGGGGGGAGGGTTTAAAAAAGTCCCCAACCCACAGGCAAAAATCAGTGGGACCTAGGCAGGGCGATGCAAGATCTCCGGCTGCGGAGAGAGCCTGTGACTTCCAACAGCTATTGCAAGAAGAGTGGGAAGAAGGTCGGGGGGGAAATCCTGGCTCTTCTGGGGCTGACTTCCCAGGGATGGTGCAGTTGCCGCCACTCAGAACGCAGGAGCTCCCGGGGGATGGAACCCGGCCCCGATCGCAGCAGAGGCAGATCCCACTTGTGTGTAAACGCTCTGGTTAGAGCGGAGGGCGCATCTCCCCCCAAGCTCCGGCAGGGCGCTGCTGCAGGGGACGGTTGCGATGCAAACGGATTACAGCCCGGAATGGGCAAAGTTTGAGGCCGGGAGCTAAGGGAGAGCGATGGAAGCGGCAGGAGCGGGGAGACGGCGCGGCGCAGCTCTCCTCGGGAGCAGCAGAGCGCGGGGCGAGCGCGCGTGTCCCCGGCAGGAGCAATGAGCCCGGCCGGTGGCAGCGGCGCACCACCTGCAAAGAGGGTGAGGGCGGGGAGGCTCCGCGGCAAGGCAGGGCTTCCCCCGCCGGACGTGGCATCATGCAGCCCCTGCGCCAATCAAGGGCGGGGAGCGGCCCGCCCCCTGCCTTGCCCCCAGGCTCCTCCCACGCCTACCCGGGGGGTTGCTCCGTTAAACTCTGCTGGGGGAAGGCTGCGCCGCCGGCTCCCCGCGTGGTGACAGCAGCAGCCGCCGCTGCCACCTGCTAATTGGCAATAGTCAGGTCAGCGCGCGCCCCTGACACCATTCCGCAGCCGCTGCACCTTGGGCTTCCTTCAACGCCGGGCATCTTCTTCGGCCACAGGCCGGCGTAAACCGAGCCTGCGCTCGGGGCCGTCTGGCCAGTTCGGCGGGCTGGAGCCCTCTGCACAGTGCAAGGCAAAGTCCGGCATGCAGCCTGCACCCGGCTGTCCATTGCATACCTGACCTAGCATGCACCCTGCTGTGCTCCATTACACAGCCGGCGTCCTTCTGCAAACTACGGCACAAAGCCCAGGGTGCTGGACAGTTAGTGGTGCAGGTTGAGTGCTAGGCTTTGCCCTGTATTTTTCAGAAGACCCAACCCAGCTATGTAATAACCAGTAATTGTAAATTATCTTTAGGAAAGGTTGTCATGGAGCAAGGAACACTATGGTTTCAAGTATCACCTAACCAGTGGTTTTCAAACTTTTTTTCTGGTGACCCAGATGAAGAAAACTGTTTATGTCCCCGACCCAACGAAGCTGGGGCGGAGGGGTTTGGGGTGTGGGAGGGGCTCAAGGCTGGGGCAGAGGGTTGGGTTGCAGGCTGGGACCAGGAATGAGGGACTCAGGGCTGGGGTAGGGGTTGGGGTGTGGGAGCAGGTCTGGGCTGGGGGTGAGGATGAGGGATTTGGGGTGCAGGAGGGGGCTCAGGGCTGGGTCAGGGAGTTGGGGCGTGGGCTTACCTCGGGCGGCTCCCGGTCAGCGGTGGTGCTAAGGCAGGCTTCCTGCCTGTCCTGGCACCGTGGACCGTGCTGCGTCCTCAAAATGGCCAGCAGCAGAGCCAGCGCTGCAGGCCCCCTCCCAAGCTCTTATTGACCAGTGCCCAGCCAATGGGAGTGTGGAGGCAGTGCTAGGTGTGGGGGGCTAGCCTGCCTTAGCCGGGCAGCACCATTGATGGGACTTTTAGTGGTTGGTCGGCGGTGCTGACCAGAGTCACCGCGACCCAGTGCTTTACATTCTACGACCCAGTACCGGGTCGCAACCTGCAGTTTGAAAACCACTGACCTAAACCCAGAGCTGCGGCAGCTGATTTACAGAGAAGTTTCTGCATAAATTAATCTCAGCTTCTTGATCCCACTCTCAAGCTGCTGGAAAAACTCTGGCACTGACTGAGCACATAGAATTCCTCCAGTCCTGGTCCCTACAGAATTATTTTATTTTAAAATCGGATATATAAGGAATACTCATTGCGGGGGGGCATTTATAAAGAAGGTATTCAAAGATGGGCCCACAAATGCAAAGAGACAAGCTATCACTGTCAAGGCGGATTCCCCACTCTGTCACTTTGAGTGCAGAAGGTGGGGGCCCTCAAGGATTCTAAAAATTAATACTTGCCACTCCAGGCTTGTATTAAACTCCCAAGGTTACAGCTTCTCTCTGACCTTGGCTTGGTAAACGCTGCCACCACCCAAATGCAAAAAAAAAAAAAGAACCCAGCAAGTAGCACTTGGGAATTTCTCCCTGTGGGGTACCCTTAAGCCCTTTCACCCCCCGCATTTATCTAAACATTCCCTATCCAAATGATTCCTTCTAGGTATGGAAGATAATTTTTCATACCTGGTTCAAACCTTACACAGCATTCCTGCTTATAGCACTGCTGCTCCGTGTCCCTGCAGCCCAGAGAGAACCACAGAACAAAGGGAAAGATTCTTTCCCAAATTTAAAAAGTTCTAGCCTTCCCCTTGGCTTTTTTGGTCAGGTGCCGCTTTTTTTTTTTCTTTACCTGGGAGACGTTTTAACCCTTTACAGGTAAAGCAAGTAGAGAACAGCTACCAAGAGGCATTTTACATCTAACTGGCTGGCTGGGTGTCCATCAAAGGTAGCTACCCCCACTTCATTTATAACACGGGCCCACAAATGCAAAGACACAAGCTATCACAAGATTAGCTATCACATATGTATAATTTTTATCAGATTGCAAGTTATACTATTGCCTTGACAAATCTGTATTTGAAAAGTTGTGTGTGAAAAATGGAGCCAGTTTTCTTCTATTCATTCATATATCACACATCAGAATAAAATTGGCCTTAGTAAGGTTATTACACTGGTCTACAATTTTTGAGAAGTCGTCTGCTTCAGAGATAAATTGTGCTATTTATTATGTATTTTGATGTGCTAAATTCAAATATGACAATTAAAACAACTGATTGGCTACTGTTTCTAAGATATTGAAGTTTTTACATTTTATGTCTATGTAAATTGTGTAGATAGTAGAGTTTTAATCATAAATTGTAAACCTAGGTATTTTCATGGGTTTATGGTTGCTTTACATGATAATATTTCACCTGTCCTGTTTATGTAACACTTTAAAAATCAGCAAAAGGGTTATATAAATCAAATTTATTATGAAACAAAAGGCAAAACACTATTCTGTACATAGTTAGTCCTATTCAGTGTCTACTCGGCGCTTCTTGGCTTGTCTCTTGTATTCATTAAATGGAGCATCTCTTGTCACTGTCCAGCAATAGTCTGCAAGCATTGATGGGCTCCATTTGCCCTGATAGCGTTTCTCCATTGTTGCAATGTCCTGGTGAAATCGCTCACCGTGCTCGTCGCTTACTGCTCCGCAGTTCGGTGGAAAAAAATCTAGATGAGAGTGCAAAAATCTATCTTTACTGACATGTTGAAACCAAGGCTTTTGTATGCCTTGAGGAGGTTTTCCACCAACAACCTGTACTTGTCTGCCTTGTTGTTTCCGAGAAAATTTATTGCCACTAACTGGAAGGCTTTCCATGCCGTCTTTTCCTTGCCAGGCAGTGCATAGTCAAATGCATCATCTCGAAGAAATTCATGAATCTGAGGACCAACAAAGACACCTTCCTTTATCTTAGCTTCACTTAACCTTGGAAATTTTCCATGGAGGTACTTGAAAGCTGCTTGTGTTTTGTCAATGGCCTTGACAAAGTTCTTCATCAGACCCAGCTTGATGTGTAAGGGTGGTAACAAAATCGTACTTGATTCAGCAAGTGGTGGATGCCGAACACTTTTCCTCCCAGGCTCCAATGACTGTCGGAGTGGCCAATCTTTCTTGATGTAGTGGG